CTGACTTAGAAAAAAGTGGCAAGTCATAATTAGCATTATTACTTCGTGGCCTACTGGAAGGATGCTATTAAAGCTTTACATATATGTACGTGTATCTCCTGCTGCAGACTCAATCATGGAAAGGATTTCTTTTGACTATCCAAAGTTGGTTATGTAAATCAGAAAAAGGAATATTATCCAGGGCTAAAAAGAAATGAGCTATCAAACTATGAAAAGACATGGAGGAACCTTAAATGCATATGACTAAGTGAAAGAGCCAATCTGAAAAGGCCACAACTGCATTCACGGGGCCCTCTGCTCTCAGCAAGCGCACGGTTCTGTGTGCTCTTTCTGCCATGGCTTTGCACGTGCAGTTTTCTCCACCCTGAAAGGCTTTTTCCTGACTTTCTCCAGGCAAATGTTGACTCATAGTCCGGGCACCACCTCTTGGCTCCTTCTCAATCTCTACCCATCCCTTGAGACAGAATTAAAGGCTCCTGGAGTACCATGGTGTAGTTCTTAGCACACGGCGTTGTAAGCATTCATTCATTTCACTTAGCTATTCTCTTTCTGGTACTACGGGCGTACAAAGGGAAGAATATTGTTTTCTTTTCATTTATATCGTCAGCAAGGAGCTTAATGCCTGATGCTTACATCTTTGGTGGCTACAGGGATGAATGGAAAAATGTACAAACAAGTTAACAAACAAGAGAGCAGTTCTGACTCTTCCTAGCAATGCGCTTCTGGTCGAGGGGCTTCCTGTGTTTCAGCATTTGTTTCATTATTAGGGGGAAAAGGTGTAACTATGACATCACAGTATTTAGATAGCGCTGTGGGAAACAGCATAAGTGAAGATACCATCATCATCATGATCAGTTTTGAACTTTAGTCACCAACCGCTCCTAACATATTACACCTTTCTGCAGATGCAGCAATGAGTATCCCCACTATTTAGTATTAGCTCTAGTACAGTTTCATTCATAATAGTCAAATGTCGCACCCCCTTCCTCACACATAAAAAGAGCAAGTTAGTATGTTCTGTCCTGTATTACGCATATCTAATCTACAGAAACAGGATTTCTTTTTTAGTTGGGTAATTAATTTATAACATAATAACGCAAATCAACATGACTTGACGCTTAGGGGGAGTTTGAATCAAATAACATTTTAGCATGTGCTACGGCGTAAGTAGAGTTTTACACTCAGCAGAAGTTCCGTTATCTGAGCACTCGGCTTCTCACTCCCATCACACATGCATTCGTGTAACACTGTGCGCTAAATACAATGCCAGGCACCAAAAAAACCACTGGGTCCTGCCTTAAAAGAGCTACGGTCCAGTTATCTTATATTTTCTCTGCGTGATTGCTTCAGTAATATATTTATTCTCTCTCCTCTAGACTGCTCCTTAGCAGCTCCTCTACCAGAGCTTGAGTCAAAGTGCTCACCACACTGCTGCAATCTAACTGTTTACCAGAAAAGGAAGGAGACAAGGGGGGGCCGGGAATTAAAATCAAGCAGTGATTTCTCCAAGTTATCGTTACTCACAATGCTGAGATTTCCAGAGATTCTTTACCCACATGACAGGTACCTACAGGATCAACCCATTCACATGCTCACATGCCCCTGAGTGTGACTGCTTCAAACAGCCATCGTTTCTGAGATGAGCATTTCTACTCTCAGAAACGGAGAGCCTAGTAGTCACTGAGGGAATTTCACCAGTTCTTTGTACCATAGCCTCTCCAATTTTTATACCTTTTCTTTTTCTAGGAAGAAAAAAAAAATCTATTTAAGGTATTTAACTAGCATTTTCAATAAATCATTTTAAGAAGGTTATATGTTGGGTATTTTTCCTAAATCCTTGAAAATTTGAGAATGTTCTTTTGATGGCTTTTCATAGAAAAGGTAATTTAACTGGATCTTATAAATTCTTGGATCCCAACGTTTTCTTTCAAAACTACATGTGTCTTTTCCATTACTCTGCCAGTTAAGATTTTCAATTGCAAACAACAGACACCAGTACTGGCTAACTGAAGCAGAGAATAAATTCACTGGAACCATATTTTTTGAACTACAGAATCAAAAGGAGAGTGGATATCAGGTAGAAACCAAAGGAGGCTAGGTATCTGAGAACAAGGCCAATATAATGCTAAAGAAATAGTCTGTTAGAATAACAGAAAAAAGGCCATTTTTTTGGGACATTTGTTTCTTCTGCTGTTGGGCTCAAAATCCCATAATGCTGCCAAAACTGAAGTCTTTTTAGTGTCCACAGTTTTAGCAAAGTCAAAGGCCCACTGGGAGCATCTGGGTGGCTGACTAGGTCATGTGACCTGCCAAGGGCTGAGGGAAGGGAATTCTCTGATCTCATTTATTTTCTGCTTCCCACAAAGATAATAAAGAATTCCTCCAAAATTAGGGAAAGTATTCATATCCTAAGATCAAAATATGACAAGTATCCCCTGTAATTATCTTCTAGCCTTTAGAATATCTGAGAAGTCTGACACCAGTTTAACTTTATCCCTCTTTCTACATCATATTGGTTTAGTCTATATTCTTGTGGAGTTTCTTCCTTTCATACTAGGAATTTAAATTTTCAGCCAGGATATATCTAGATGCAGTTCTCCTTTCATTGACTTTGCTTGATTTGCTCACCCAGGATACATTTTTATTCCTCCCTAGGGCAATTTTCTTCAATTATATCTTTGACTATTTCTTTACTTTCAGTTGTTTATGTATACCCATACATGCTATATACCTATAAACCTTAGATTGAAGTTCCATTTTCTGAATTATAACCCTAGGTATATACAATAATATATTCAGACAGCTACAACTAGCTAGAGTCTCTTATTTTTTTATTAAACAGTGTCATCAGTTCTGGAATATATTTTTATTATATTCTCAAAACATCCTTTTTTATCCAAATTGATCCCACAAATTCAAGGCCAACTAGACAGGCCATAAAATAATGCCTCTACACAGATTTATACCACTAGAGATTATACAGACTAACCAGTAATCATGTAATGCCACATGTTTTTATATTTATGTTTTGTATATTAAGTAACATCTTACCTCAACACTTACTTAAATCATTTGATAATAATTACTCTGTTTTACCAAAGAGGAGAGAATCAAGGGCTTCCTTTAAATATATACATTTCTAGATCACAGAATTCATTCTACAGAATAGATTCAAATGCTATTTTCAGAGAGTGTTATCCATGAATCCACCTGAGAGGCCTGCTATAAATGCAGACTCCCAAGCCTCACACCAGGCCTATGGAATTAGAATCTCTGAACATAGGGTTAGAAATTTGTTTCTTAAAAATAAGTTCCTTGGCCCGGCCAGGTGTGGCTCAGAGGTTTAACGTCGGCCTAGGATCCAAGAGATCGGGGTTCAATTCCTGGTCAGGGCACATGCCTGGGTTGTGGGCTCGATCCCCAGTCGGGGGGTGTGCAGGAGGCAGCCGATCAGTGATTCCCTCATCATTGATGTTTCTATCTCTCTCTCTCTCCCTCTCCTTTCCTCTCTCTGAAATCAATAAAGATATACTTAAAAAAATTTTTTTTAAATAAAAATAAGTTCCTTGGATAATTCTTTATCCATGAAAGTCTGAAAATCACTGCTCTAATTCACTAAAGAGAATATTAACAAACTAAAACATTAACCTGTGCAAAGAAGGAAGGCTCTGATTTTATTTTTATAGTCCCATTCTAAAGGACTTCAGGTAAAGAACCAAGATTAAATTTCCAAAGTCCATTAGCATTTATTGTATCTGAAACAATCAGTTTAGTAAAAATTGTTTCAAAATTCTGGTAACTCTTCTACTTGGATTGACTCAAATTATCTAGGCAGTTTACCATGTGGAAATGTAGGGAACCATTTACAAAGCAATCTTCCCCTAGAGGTTTCACCAAATCAACCAACAAAAGGCACACATTCGAACTGCAGAACATAACTCAACTACCAGTGAGAAAACTAGAATCAGAGGTCAACCATTTTATTAATTCTCTAGGTAGTTTCATTTTTCTGCCATTAATAACATTCTGAGAGCTAGCCTTGAAACTCACTGGTTAGTTTCTTAGATAATCTTGTTAAGAAATCATCTGAGGGTGTTACTTCAGGCATGATATAAATTTGTTTCTAAAACCATAACCAAAGAGCCAGACCCAATTCTGATGTAATCGGTTTCCCACATCAAGGATTTGAAATTAAATATTCTGCTGAGGCAGCAACCAAAACTTTCAGCCTAACAGTGAAAATCTGCCAACAGTAATTTGCACATTACATTAAGACTGTCAGCTGGTCTATAGACATTTAGAAGCCAAATATGATCTTACTGAAAGAGATACTTTGGAATGTCTCTGATCTTAATTTGTTGGTCCTGAGTAATATACATAGTTAGTAGCCATTAAACCATTGTTAATACACTTGTTTTCGGGTATCAGAACATTTAGTCTATGTAGACATAATTCAAGTTTGGCTTACAATTAGTTTGTTTTCAATAAGCATTCTGTGTGTGTGTAAAATAAATAAGGTAAAAACAACTCTGCTAAAGTTTCAATAAAATTGAACCAAGATGAGAAACTCCTTAAAACTTAATTAAAACAATACAAGTACATTAGTTAGATATGACACTACTATACTCAAATTGAGAAGAAATTTTTTGAACAAGTTATTAAAACAATTAGATTTTCTTTTAGATCCACGAAATAGATTGGAGAATTTAAAACGATTAAATCATCCAGAGACAATTTCTATTTATATTCTCTTGAAATAAAAGTCTTCAACTACTAGGATAAGTTGTGTTAGCTTTAATGCCACGTACTTATTAGTGATGGTTTAGTTTCCACGTTAGTCGGCTTTCGACCGACCGCTCCAGATCCACAAGCCCTCTATCATTCAAACTGTAATTGTCTCGGTAGAGACTGTCACTCTCAGGTAGCCAACTTAAGGGAGCAGAGATCAAAGGAGGAGAGGGAAGGACACTGTAACTGAGAAGTTAGCATGGGCACAGTACCTTGCACTGTGAGGAAAACTGAAGCGGCTGATGATCCCCCTTCGTTGGAAACCAGACAACGATACTCCCCAGCATCAGTGGATTTCACGGTCCTGAGCTCCAGGGAGAGGTTAGCCAAGATCCGCATTCTTGCTGGGTCTGCCAGCCTGACGTCCCTGTCGTTCCTCTGCCAGGTTAGATTGTAATCCACCGCACTGATGACGAGACATGTCAAAGCTGCTCTTTCTCCAGGAGCGACGGTAACATTACTGGGCACTTGGATGACTGGAGGGGGCTCTGTGCAAAATAGAAAGATTCAAATCAAGAGTCCCCAATGTGCACACTTAGAGATGTGGTTCCAAAATTTAATGAGTCTCCCTGGCCAGTGTGACTCGGCTGGTTGGAGCATCGTCCAGTACACAGAAAGGCTGAGGGTTTGATTCTTGGTCAGGGTACATACCTGGGTTGTGGGTTCAATCCCCAGTTGGGGTGCGCACGAGAAGGAAATAGATTGATGTCTCTCTCTCTTGATCTCTCAATATCTCTCTCCCCCTCTCTCACTCTCCCTCCCCCTCTCTCTAAAATCAATAAGCATGTCCTCAGGTGAGGGTTAAAAAAATGTAATGAATATGTTTTCAATATCTAGGAGAAAAGATGCAGCACAACACAACTTATTCATTAATACATGTCGATCATCTTAAGAAAGGCTGAAAGATGCTTTAAAAACTAGAGCATATTTACATACCAAAGTATATTCAAGCCTAAATCTATAAATTATAAAAAGCGGCATGGCAAAAGGACATGACTAGGGTGATTTAGGATTGTGCAATAAGTCAAATCTTGATTTGAGTTTTGAGGAAAGTCGAATTTAAGATTTTTTAAAATTTAAAAACATTTATGTATCAAAGAATCGCACACTTGAAACCTCTATAATTTTATTAACCAATGTCACCCCAATAGATTTAATTTAAAATATTTATTTAGTGTTTTAAAGAAAATAGCACATAAAATATGGTAGATATGGCAAAGATAAGGCAGTACCAGCTTTAAGTGTGTGGGGGCGGGAGTTACAGTCTCATTAAGAGGATACAATACTACAACAGCAGAGTAAGACAAATGTTCCCCAGCAGGGATGGAAAACATTTGTATTTAAGGATGTCAAGCTAACAGTGGGGAGAGGCCTTTAATAAAATTGTATACACAGAGCCACGTACACAAAGGCATTGACTAACGCATGCACATTTCAGATGTGGTCAAAAGCCAATTATTAATTAACTGTTGAACCAACATTTCTAGCATCACTTAGTGCTCGGTTTAGGTTTTAGAATAAATCTAAATGCCCCTCTACGGCTCACTTTGCCCAAATGCTTTCAATGACCTGCTGCAGCAAGCCATTATTGAGTAATAATACAGCAATAAAATCTGTGGTGAGCTACGCTGGCTGGAAACCCGCATGTCTGTTTTAGTTTAACTATAAAAGAGTATCAGATATTCAAACTATCCTTCTTTATTTAAAATGGTATATAAGTACAGATGAATATCATAAGCCTAGAATAAAACCTGGAAGCAATATGCCAAAACCACAGTGGTTATCTCTGAGTAAAAGAAATGCATATATATTCCAGATTTTCCTTTATTTATCCCTGTTTCCCATTTTTAGAGGAACATATGCTATTTTTAATTGTAAAAAATAAACATATTTTTATCATTCTGCTATGTTTTTAAAATCTCTTCTGAAAACAGCCGGTGAATCAAGTGGAAAGAGTACATGGCAACGTTAGGAGGCTCTGAACTAGAGTCCGGTTAAGTTGGACAGACAAAATACAGGATGCTTTGTAAAGTGTGAACTTAGAATAAATATCAAATAATGTTTAACTATAACTAGGTCTGATGAAATATTTGGGAAACATTTACGTAAAATTCAAATTTAACTGGGCATCTTAGGTTTTTATTTGCTAAACTCGGCAAACATAAGCTACTTAGTTCTACCCCTAACTACTTATGTGATCTTAGATAAGCCAATTTACACACAGTGTTTGCCAATCTGAAAAATGAGATGAATGAATTTGGTAATTGTAAAGACCCCTTCTAGTGCTGAGGTTCTATGATTCTAACATACAGGAGGGTGTGATCTATGATTCTAACAAGATCCACCAAAGATCCGGGAGTGGCTATTTGTGTGCATGTGTTTAATTCTATCCAAACCTTTCTGAAGACTGCAAAGTAGGGTGGCTGTGCTGGGACCTCAGCCTAGACTGGGGGAGATTCAGAAGTGGGTGCGGATTTGAGGCTGGCAGGTTAAGCAAAAGTCAGGCCAGAAAGAAGTGGCCTCTCTTCCAAGTCTAAAGGGGCTCCTGCTTGTTACTTCTGCTGTTAGAGTCACTGCCGTTACCACCAACGCTTCTGCCTCCTTCTTTCATAACTGACTAAGTGGGACATAATTCCTGAAAATTGGCTTAGGCACAGTCCAATTTCCGAGTGATACCACTGCTCGGCTGGCACGGATTCTCGCTAGCAGGGCCTGTGTAGAACACACATACAGAAGTTGCTGACACCAGAGAGCCAAATTCTTCACAGTCAGTTCATAAGTTCTTACTGGCGCTTCCCCGTTATTTATGCGAGATGTCTGAACCAGCTCACTCAAACCTTTCCCTGTTGTCCTTCCCTTCACGAGTATTGCTGGGAAAACAACTTTAGTGCTCAAGTGTTTGTTTTCCCAGAAGCTGAGGAATGTTGACAGGATTCCAACGCTTTGCATAATTACTGGAGATGAAAAAACACGAATACTTTATGGTGCATGTCAACTTGCTAAATTGTTCCAGAGGACAAACTTTATTTTTCTAAGAATAAGAGAATACGAATAATTTACTGCAAGAAGAGCATGCTTGCACGCCTCTGCTTTAAAGCTCAGCTTGGACGTATTGATAACAACCATAAATCACAGTCTTCAGCTCTGTCTTGCAATTATAAAGCTTCTTTTGTCCTGAAGACCAAGAAAACACACACCAATGCTAACAGCAGGTACAGACATTGCTAGACACTCAGGGGCCACACTTAGGTCAGAATAGACTTACTATTAAACACTCAGCAACACTAGTCTACAAGGCAGACGGAAAAAAATTCAGTCAAAACAATGCAATAAATTCTAAATATGTGCTGAATGAGGGGCTTAAATTCTGGTAGTTTTTTGTTTCCTAAGAATCCTGGGAGATTAGAGAGAGAAAAATTTTTTTTTTCACTAAAAGATAATCTACCAGGTAAAATAATCTGAGTCTTGCCTCCCATTTATTCCCAGGAAACACGCTATCTGAGTATAAAATAAAGAGCGTGTCTTCTGCCTCTCTTAACACCAGTATTGCCGCTGAGGTGCGGTGTTTCTTGAATGCGATCACTTTCACTATTATCTTCAATTTTGATGTCAGGATCCACTCATGCAAGCACTCTGCTCATTATGAATATGGGAGAAAGAAAGAGAAAGTTCAACCTTTATCAGAACAGATCCCTTCCTTTCCTTAAATTTTATTTTTTTCAGAGAAAAATGCTATATGGCCATTACAAAAATAATTTATTAAGCCTCTACAATAATAACAACATAAACAATAACAAAATAATAACAATAGCTAATGTCTAGTACGTGTTTCTACGTGCAAGGCTCTCTTTTAAGTGCATTCCATCTACTATCTAATTTAATCCTCACAGTTTCTCCATGAGATACTGTTACTGTTATGATCCTCATTGTATTATTTTTATTTTTTTAAAGATTTTTTAATTGATTTTTAGAGAGAGGGAGAGGGAAACATTGATGTGAGAGAGAAACATCAGATCGGCCTCCTCCTGCACGCCCCCCACCTGGGATCGAACCCGCAACCCGAGCATGTGCCCTGACCAAGAAGCAGCAGCCTTTCAGTGCACGGGATGATGCCCAGCCAACTGAGCCACACCGGCCAGAGCTATTATCCTCATTTTCTAACAGAGAAGCCAAGACACTGAGTCCTTAAGGAACTGGCCCGAGGAAGGTCATACAGCTAACGCGTGGTGAGGCAGGAGAAGCAAACACTCCGCTTCCACAGCCACGTGAACACCCAGGTAACTGCAAAGCCATCGGTGATAATCACCTGACACGTCAAAAAATGTCTGGGCCCGTCCGGTCCCTGCAGTGCTGACAGCGACGCACTCATAGGGGCCTTCGTCAGACAAGGTGACCTTTTCGATATCCCAGTTCACACTGGCAGATTCTCTGGGGTAAGAAAACAGAAACAGTGTTAGTTACTCTAACAACAAGACCCAGTTGAAAGCAGTGATTCCACTATCTGTTCTGAAGTCTTCTTTCAAAAGAACATGATCAAGAAAATAAGTTGATTAAGTAAGCTTCAGAGTCCTTTCTAGCTTAAAATTGCACAACTTCTTTATTTTAATTAGAAAGTTAAGCTTCTCTACTTTGAACAGAGACACACCAAAGACAATAAGTTATGGAGATTATAAATTTCTTTAAGGAAATATTTTCTGGCTTTGTCAAAATATAAGATAAAGGTCTGTTAGAGAAATACTGCTTAAATCCTCTCTCCTTCCTTATTACTTCCAGTTTTCGGTTGTGTTCAGTGAGGCTCTTAGACAAAGCAATTCAACCAGTCTGAAGGTAGAAAACAGACTTTTTGATTCCAAAAAGATAAATACTGTTTAACTTTCTCATATAGAAGTTCCGTATGCAATCTATGTATGCATTTAAAAAAGAAAAAAATATGTTTTATAGTCAAACTTGTCACTTAAGTAAAAAAAAAAAATCCCTTGGCTATACTGTGTATTTATTCATTTAATAAATATTTATAGTTTGTTCTTTAACACTGTTCAAATTATATCTCATTGAATCTATTTTTTTGAAAATGTCTGAGTAATAGAAGCTCAATCCTTATTTAAAATCTTCTAATAATCCATAAAACAGGCATTATTTTGTTTTAAAATATGACTGCAATGCATAAATGTTTTTGTAATTTTTTTCTTACAATCACCCATAGCTTTTTATAACCATTTGAAACGGTCAAGATACAGATGAGATGAAAATCTCATTGCAGGGTCAAGACACCTTCCACTGAAGTAAAAAAATGAGTAATAATGCCCCACAGTAATAACTCCTGCCATCCAAACCAACCATACTCATCAACAAACAACCACGAAGAATACCTGAGCACTTCGCACATATTCAGCACTAACTTAGAGTTGGTAAGAGAACATTCTCAGAAACGTCAGAAACTAAACAATACCTTTGTGTTCCCTATACCTTAGTAACTGAGACTATTCGGTTAAGGTCGTTTCCTTTGAATTGTGTAGTGCTAGGTGCCAGTGGTCCTTGTTGTCACAGTCAGGAGAAAACGGAATATGATTTGACTATGCTATACTGACCACCGGAGCTGTATCCTAAATGCTAACCAGCAGCAAACCATGCCCAACGTTATCTCATTGCCTAGAGGCGCTGGTGAGTTCCAGAAAGGCAGACACTTAAAATACATACGTCTTCTGTGTCCTCTGCAGGGCCCACTTCAGAGCTGAACATATATTAAGATTCATCAAAAACACTGCACATGGAAATTTTGAACAGAAAGTGACAATTCTTCTAGTCCCAACTCCCTCATTTTAAAAAAGAGCAAGTTGAGATCCAGAAAAGAAGGACAAGTAATTTGCTCCAAGGCACATAACCAGCGTACAAACTGCTTGAAGGCTATTCTTTACAGTCACCCTAGTTCCTCTCTTAGTTATGAAATAGGTCATGAAAATAATTTTTCCTTTCATGTAGCCTTCTCGGTTGACACTAAGACGATATGGCCACAGTAAAAAGTTTTGCAGGGATGGCCTTGGGATTAGGGGAAAGAACACGTCTAACAAAAATGTGTTCTGCCGTTAATGCAAACTAATTATCTTCCATCCCCTAGTGACCACAGTGATTCACGCAACAAGGATTCAGTCCCATGTCTCACGTTATTAGGAAATCTAGTTCAGATATGCGAGAGAACCAGGGTTAGGGTATCAATCCATCATCACCCATGCCTAATTCTGTCTTTAGCCTCTCACATCCAAATAGCTCTACTATATGTCAGCACAGGCATGTTACATCTCTGCATCACAAAGCTGGAAAAATGAGAGCAAGAATTCTTGTGGCTTACCTCCCAGAAACTGCATGGAATTAATGTTTATAAAGAATCCTGTGTCTTTGAAAAATGTTACTATTTAAACATGAAGCAGAATGGTTTGATTTCATCAGTCAGTTATGTAGCTTCATCGTTTTATATCCTGGTCAGTTATGTTTGATTTATGGTTATTAAATATGTAGCTAAGTAAATCATCAAGATAGACTATGTGAGGAAAAAAGAGTGGCAGGAAATAATGCAGTTCAATCTTTAAATAATGGAAAAGTTTCTAAATTTATAAGGAACATTTCTGCCCTAGTTTTGACTTATAATGACCACCCCATAAAGAGACTGTATAAACTAAGACTGTCAAATATTTAACATCTTATGGAAGTTATTTATAGTAATATTGAATTAACAGTATAAAAGTTTTATAAAATAATTCTTAGAGTTTTTTCCAAAATGTAGTTGGTTTCATAGTAAGTTAAAAAAAACCAACACCATTTTCCAGAAATCACCCTCTAGTTTTCAAGGCCTACTTAATTTTTGCCTAAAAAAGTTACCCATCTTCACAAAGACAGTCCATGCCTTCTGGTACACTCCCCTGTTATACAGGGTGGGGCAAAAGTAGATTTCCAGTTGTTAGTATGGAAAATAACACAATAATTAATAAACAAGAATACAAGAATAAACTCCGTTTCGAGTACTCACGACTGTGAACCTACTTTGGGCCACCGCTGTACGCAGTGGCCACACAGGTCTGTGCTCCACCTGCCACCCCCGCCCCCAGCACACACCACTTTTCCCTGACATCTGCCTCCCTCCTCCTGGCTCACTGGGCTCTTTCCTCCCCACATGCCCTGCTCGCTCCAGCCTTCGGGCATGTGCATCCAGCTCTCTCACCATGTTCAGGTCTTGGCACAAATGCTCCTTATTCTGAATTTTAAAACTGCAACTTGACCAAGACCACATGCACCTGACCTGTCAGCATCACTCGTCCCAATGAACTATTCTCCACTGTACCTTAACGCTGATCAGATTCACTCACCCTAAACTTCCAATTAGATTCGGAGACACGTCCGCCCAGAAGCCAATAAAGCTGAAGCTCCAGGGCCTCTCCTTCGCAAGGATCCTTCCAAGGTTCGGTACCTACCTTTGTATTCATAATTTTGTATTCTTTGACTTACAAGGAACCCTCAAATTGTATAAAACTCAGATTCTATAGAGCTTAAGTCAACTATTGAATGGATTCTGGCATTTATTATATTAACATATTTATCATTTTTCTCTCTTCCTCCATCACATACAAGCTCCTCAAGGACCAGAGCTGTGTCTGTTTTGTTCATTGCTATATTCCAAGACCAAAGAGCAAATGTATGAGAATTTTCAATTAAAAACACATTAAAATAAGTATTTTCTGCAAACAAGTATTATTTGCATTTAGATGTTTAATGCTATCAATTATTAATATAAACATGTACCCACTTTAAATATTGGTCTACTCCGAGTATGATTCCGTTTCTGACAAAGCTCAAGGTAAAGGGCAAAAGACTTTCAACAGAGCAGGGAATTCGGCCGGGCTGCAGGTAGTATCCTGGGGTCTTCTTAGGCATTGTGACTTTGGGAGCATCTGGGGGAAAAGAGCATGGGCGAGAAGGTTGTAATGATATTGAGCACTTCTTGTTCAAAAGCTTCATACTTAAATTCTTCCAGTAAATCTTCTGTATCCCAATTAATCTAAATCACTTTCATTATCTTTCTTTGTTCAAAGCTTATTCATTTCAATGTCTTCATGAACCCTGTACTCAAGTATTCACTGAATCTAAGACTCTATTGATTTTAAGATGTGACATTACTTTTTATACTACCAAGATAGGATAAAAAGCTACCAAATTAGTTACAATATATCACCAATTGTAGAAAACATTTTGATTTCAAAAATGTAAACATATGAAAAGAACCCACATCTTCGAATTGAATTTATGGGGTAATTATTTTTCTAAAAAGAATGGCAAAATTATTTTTAAGAATCCAATAGATTTTAAAGTATTCAATTTAGGAGCTGAGACAACTTTGAATATTGTAATGAGGAAGCATTGATGTTGGATCTGTTCCCATCATTTTACAATTTTAAACAATAGCTATAGAGTTGTTCCTGAATTTCCCAAATCACAGCCTTATGTATAAATGGTAGATGCTGCTCCTCCATCCAACAGCACAATATTAGAAACAATCCTATGTCTTTGTCTACAATTCTAAAGTTTTGATCAGAGTTCAGCCATCAGCCTTAAGAAACAGCTCAAGTACAGACCAACTTTAAAGCTACCTGTTGTCTCCAAATAGTCTTTAAGCTGTGATCTCACCTCTAGATAACAGCAAACATATAAGTAGTTTACTAATTAACTAACCAACCAACTTACCAAATGAAGGCAGAATGATCACCAGTTGTTTAGAGTGAACTAGGGCTAACGTAGTAGAAGGTTTCCGACAATTGTACATAAACATTTATCCCATTTAGATGGATTATTCAAACATTAAACACATGTGCCAGGTTTTGTAGGGACAATAAGAGCACCTGAGTTTCCCAGTTTGACTTCTTACATTGATTGACATAATCAAAATTTTCAGAACCACCATCAGTGAGACTCAACATGAAACACTGGATTTCACAGTGAAGAAAAGTTAAAAGTTATCTAACCTGTGTGTAAATGCTCATCAATTCGCTAACCCAGTAACAATGTGAGGATATTATTTTTAACTTTCTAGTCTATTCTTTACCTACAGGACCACATTCCCCCCCCAACACACACACCTTAAGCTATCAATACTCCAGTGTTGAATGAAACAATGTCTCACCTGGGATGATGCTAGAGAAGGAAACACTTGATACTCTCTGGAAGAGATAATCGTCCTTATCATAACCAGCTACTCTGAGAAAGAAAGCTTCCTTTGGTGGTATAAAGTCAGAAATATTCCATATGCCATAAGGTTTCCGATCTGGGTAATATTTAACAGGAATAGTCTTAAGAGAATTGCCTGAGATACTCAGAAGTTCAAGACGATCTACTCTAGCTGGGACGGAAATTCCAGAAGTGTTCAGAAGCACATAGGTTGGTATTCCTACAAGAGAAAGACTTTGTTATTGTTTACAAGTAACATGCAACTGAGGTTTGATATCAAGTTTTTGCATTATACTAACAGGTTGCAAGCACCGTAAGTATAAATACTATGAACTGCCCTACAGTCTGTGGCCCAGTTGTAGAATCTTTTCTACATAAAAGACAGTTTATTAATGACCAGAGGTACTTAGGAAATCCTAAGTGGTTATTTTGTAGTCTATTAGTTATGTTTATACATAGAATTGTGAATATTGTGTTATATGATATTTGATTACATTTACATTTTTAAAGTTCACTATTTGTGTCTTTCCAGTAACTGCAGCAATAAAAATAAATGAACAACCACAAAAAGAAATCTGAAGAGTCGCAGTAGGATTGAGCCTTTTTTTATAGCTCTAAAACTATAAAAATCATGCATGAGTAAAATAAGAGGAAGAACAAACTTTAAAAATCATCAATAATTTCACCTTTGAACATATACTGATATATAATATCTTTCATTTTTTAGCCATATTTATACATACGCAATCTACCTTTTCACCTTGACAAGATAATTTATAGGTATTAATAAGAGAAAGACTCTAGTTCTAGGTCAGCAGTTTTCAAAGTTTAGTAAGTATAGCCATCAACTGGGGTACTCCTGGAGGTACATATTCCTAGGCCCTGCCTCCTGTGGTCTGATGCAGGAGAGCTGGGGCAGGGCTCAGGAATCTTAATCTCTTACCGTCTCCCTGAGAGATTTCAGTACCACTGGTCTTGGGACTACATGCCGAAAAAGTGACTAGGCCGAGAGCGCAATCATGTTTAAAGATGTGATGTTTCCCAATTTTATCGACTCATGCAGAATCATAAAATCACAGACATTCTGAGAAATACTTTCATTTGGATCTCTATTATTCCAGTTTAAGCAAGACACACATACAAACCTTGCACTGGTCTGCTGACTGTTTTTTTGAAGTCCAGGGTGGGCTTTCGGGAAAAGCCAGCTCGGAAATCAATAGTACTGAGGCCGGTGATGCGAACAGAGTGTCGTCCGCTGCTGGAAGTCTGAAAACAATCAATGACAAACCCCATGAGCAGCCGATCCAGGGTGCTGGTCACACTGAACACCAGTATTGGAAACTGCAGCGTGCTTATTAAGATCGATGTCCATCAGTCGTGGCTCTGATCTGAGTATTCAGAACTATGATTCTCCATCTTAAGTGCATGTTTTCTGATACATATGCCAGGGGACTGCGCTGAAATACAATTCAGTAATGCCCTGCATGCCCAATGGTGAAAGATTCGGGTGTTTAGAGTCACCAGCGAGTGAACCTGAAGTAAATCTGTAAAAGCTCTATGAGGACACGGATCTTAGTTTTGTTCAGTGTGCGAACCATGGTAGATGCTCAGCAAATACCGAGGAAATGAATGAAGGGCTATATCTTTTCCCCTAAACACCATTCAGGTTCGATTAAGAAAGATATTTCCTCTCTCGGTGGCTCTGAAAGATACATTCACAACAAGCTGACCTCACACTCAGCTCAGCAGCGTCCCAGCCAAGCACCCGCTGCTTCACACACACAGGCGAGTACGTGGCCAGGGAAGGAGAGCTCATGGCCAGGGAGGGGGACAGATGGATAAACGGAAATCTTTAATACGATGTAGTGGTAGAAATACATGCCATGTACACAGAAATACATAAAAGGAGCATAGAAGCGGACAGTTCAGCTAAAACTTCCTAATGAGGATGGTGCCTGGACTAACTGGTGAATGATACTAAATACTAAAGTGACTCACGGGTGGGTAAGTACTAAATAATTTGGATTAGGGCCATGGGGTAAAATAACAGCACTACCATTTACTGGTCACACTCTCTATGCCCAGATGCTTTAAATATATCGGCTTATTTGCAGTTCTACCAGAGGGGTATCACCATTATCACCCCCATACAGGTAACTACATGACAGCTGCATTTCAGCAAGAGCAGAATATGGGGGTGAGAGAAAAGCCTCCCCAGGGCAACACAGGGCACCAAACAATTACCAGAGTTTCAACACATATTCGGGTATCAGCAAGGACAGAATGCTAGCTACACAGTAGTCCCTGAGTCACTGGGGCTTCTTATTTGGCCATGAGGAGGGGAAGGGGGGAGAGACATAGCCCTGTTGCTACCAGATTTATTCCTCACTGAGCAGACCTGCCAGAGCTCGAAGGAAAGGCAAATGAAAGCAAGGAGAAAGAAAAAACACATCTTCATGAAAAGTGCTGTGGTACTCTTAGCATGAACGATGCTGCTAATTAATGACCGTGGCTCAGTTTCAGAAGGGCTCCAAAGGACTGTGTGTGTCAATGTAGGGGTCTCAACAGTGCCACTTAGTCCATTACTTTTCAAGGAAGAAGTGTTATGAATTCTATATAATAGACACAAAAAAGGAACCTAAGGATCATGATCCCATTTTAAATCGAGGATTTCCTTTAGGATTATAAAAAAAACACCTTTCTACTAATTTCAGCGGCTTTAGATAATGTACAGCTTCATTGAAGACACTATTGCTTACTGATTTCATGTGAGGACAGACAAATGTTCCGTATTATGATGAGCTGATTCCCATTTATTCACCGGCATCATATATCACTGTTAGTTGCCTTGATACTCAGAAAGTCCCCTGTGATAAAACAGCTGTTGAGGCTACGAAAAATATGCCACAATTTGTCGAGCGACGCCTCTTACGTGCTAATTGTCCGCCGAGCGTTCTGTGAACACACCAACTGACAAGAGTTCACATGGAAAAGAAGTGGTGCTTAATATCTAAGTGAGAAAATTAGAGATTACCCAAGTGTTTGAAAATAAGCCATCCTCTGTTGCTAAATAACACCTTAAAATAAAACTGAGCTGACAAAGAGGGAGCCCCTCAAAATCTTTATAAAATTATTGTAAAATAAATTAATTTTGATCCTGAAAAATAGCACACCAACAACATATGTGGAAATAAGAACATATGATGACTATTCTCTGAGCAATGCTAAAAACATGAAGAGTAATAAGTTTAAAATTTTTGTTAACTTCATGTTTCTGTATTATATTGTAAACGGTGGGAATGTCTGCAAAGAATTTGAAGGGTTGGTAAATAAAAGATATTTCCAAGCAAGCCCATTTTTATGCACAACTCTATCCAGCTCTGTATTAGTCAGGATAATGGGAGCAAAGGACATCACAAATAAACCAAATGATGTATTAAAAACATATTAAAAAGAAAAACCCACTAATTTAGTTTAAAATGACCGCTGATATTCACACACAACTGTCATTCTTCGCCCATTCTCTTAAAATATTGCAACAATATTAGGACAATATTCTAGGAAGACAAAACATCACATTAAATTTCTTGGTGAAAACCACCAATACTTTACTATTTTAGTCTTTCCTTTTTAAGCAAGGTATTATTTTATTCTGTTTCTTAGCTCAGCTCCCTTTTTCAAATTTTACTGTAATAGGAACATACAAGTTTTAGGTTTAACGATGGTAAGACAAACCAGTAAATGAAAACAGGAAAGAGAAGTTTTCACATACACAAAATGCATTCTTTTACATAAATCATCGCTTTTAATCTTCAAAGAAGCCCCTGTGAGACAGTACCATTATTCCCCTCATGTCACAGATGAGACAGGTTAGGTGACTTGCTCAGAGTCACAGATACAGCAGGGGCAGAGCGGGGCATGAATTCAGGGGGCTCCAGAAGCCGACCTCCGCAGTGCAGCTCCGCCACGCACGGCTCGCGGTTATCTCCGTGGATTCGGCTGCACTGGTGTCCGTGGAGGCTGAAATGTGCTGACGTGCTCCACATAACAGAAGAAACACAAAACTCTGGGCAATCCGGGGGAGAAGCAGAGCCAAAATGGGGGGACAGCGATGAGGGACAGGGAGGGAGCAGAAGGGAAAAAGGCACTTCAAGGCGTGTCCCCAGGTCTGCAGGAGAATCCCCTACGCTCACAGAAGGATGGCTGTTGGTGGGTTTCCCGTGACATTTTTGGAGGGGCTGAGCTTGTGTGTGCATCCAAGGACAAAAGCCTAGAATCAACACACGATGACTAGGAGGCAAGGGCACTGTAAGGAAACCAGCGTTCAGGAGACTCCAGGAGCGTCGGGGAAAGGCCTCGGAACCTAACCTGTTAGGGGCACAGCAGGGCTGGGGCAGGGCTGGATGGCACGAAGGCCTTGGGGGCAAGGGGCATTTGGCTGACTCTCTAATTGAGTCGACTGCGTACTTCTTCCCCCTCTCTTCTCTCCCAAATGATTTTAGCCATCTTAGTAGCATTTTTCTGTATATGCAATAAATTTAGTAAAACCAAAAGTACTGATTTAATGTTTGGGTTTTTTTCTATTTGGTTTTTATATCATGTAGATTTAACCTGCAGGCTATTCTAAAATTAGAATTTGGCTCCAAAAAGCATCTCTCTTCCACAGAATTTCTTGAGGTATCACTCCTGCACAGAGCCAGCCTAACCTCATGGCTTCTGTAGTGTTTTTTTAAGAAGAGGGAACTCTAAGAGCAGCCTCATGGCTCCAAGCATAACAGGAAATTTTCTAGAAACTAGACACTGGACAGGGCTTGTATGGGTTATAAATTCTGAGAGTTGTATTTCAAACAATATATTTATTCATATGATTTTTAAAAGTTCACAATGAGCCACATTACTACTCTGAGATAGAATGTCACGGTCAAGCGTGGAAAGGTGAAGGACCTGAGTCAGAATTACACAGGCTGCCGCAATGTAAGCAAAACAGGTAAATATGAGGTTGTAGTAGATACCGACGGGCAATTAAAATTGTAAATAGGGAACCTTGATTCAGAAAGAAGTATGAGAAAAGCAGCAGAGTGGACCGGAGTCTAGGTTTCTGAATTGGAGTGAATGAAGGATCAGGAGAGGCTGAAGCCCCATGGAGCAAGCACCATGGAGAGCTCCAGGAAACATTAGTTTCTCCTCGGATATCCTCTTGGTCAGCTCTGTTGTAGATGGGTGTACTTCTGAGTTTCAGGATGAAGGGCTATTAAATGCCTCTCTATACTGAAAGTCCCTTATGGCAATAGCTATGTCATAGTCACCACCTACAAAATATTACTCAATAGGCACTTAATAGATGCGGGTTTAATAAATATTAAAAGTCATCCAAATGCCTAATGTTGCTTTTCCTTAGGTTCTCTCCTGGGAGCAGCTAATGTCAGATTCATCAAAATTCTTTGAATTTTTTTCTAGAAGCATTATGTTAAGCATGTTCACACATTATCTCCTAAAATCTTATTATACCCAAAGAGTATTTTAGAGCACCATAAAGAAACTGAGGCTCAAAGAAGTGATTACTTGTTAGGTTTATACAGCATGTTAAATTGCAATTATTCCAAGTTCAATACTCTCTTTCTATAGTATCTAAGTCTATGCACCACATTTTAAGATAGCATAATCTCTGGGTTGATTTGGACCCTATGGCAGAGAAGACAATAAGAGCCCCAACTATTCATTTGCCATTCCACATTTCTAAACACACTTTCATTTAGGAGGGGTCAGGTTAGTGGAGTGTTGCTAAAATGCTCTTTCAAAACAGAAAACCCTAATTTTGGGTGTTTTCCAGTTTCTGTGGTGTAAACGCTACCACCATGGCTGATTTCAAGCTCCCAACATGATGTCATTGAGCACAGAGATGGGAAGGGAAAGTGCATGATTGACTCTCCATGAGCCACGATGAGCCAGCTTCAGAGCTTCAGCATATTAGGCCATGATAATATTTCTGGCCAATGTGATATAAATGGTATGAAGTGAGTCTGTCACTCACAGAGATGTCTGTCTCATCCCAGAAGTAACACAAATTCCTTCTCTCTTTTTTTTGTTTTAACTCAAAGAAATATTCTCCAGTCTTTTCCCCCATTACAGTAACTGAAGAAACTGCCTTTTCTAAATAATGGTGGTTCCTCCATCACTTTGGGTTCCAGAGTGACTGTGTGAAGTAAAATGTCATGTCAACCCCCACAGGACCTAGACCACTGGAGAGAATTAACTTTCTTATATTGATACAGTGATAATTCTTCCTAGTACTAAATGTGAAGTCTGCCCTTTTATAATTGAATTAAAATGTGATTATTAGAGCCCAGCTGATGCGGCTCAGTGGTTGAGCACTGACCCATGAAATAAGAGGTCACCTGTTCGATTCCAGGTCAGGTCACACGCTCGGGTTGCAGGCTCCATCCCCAGTAGGGGGCATACAGGAAGCAATTGATTGATGATGTTTCTCTCTCATCGATGTTTCTATCTCTCTCTTCCTCTCCTTTCCTCTCTCTCTAAAAATCAACTTTATATATTAAGTAGTGAATCTTGAATTAAAGCTCTTTTCAAAGCATTTATTCTTAAATGACATACCATTCTTTACAAATTAAAGAATATGATGGTTTCAATAAAATATTTAATGAGAATTTACTGGGGCTAGGCACTGTCCCAGACACAAAGATACAATACTGCCAGCTAGATTTAAATAATATCATTTTATTAGGCACTGTATGTTCAGAGAAATGTGATAGAAGGAGATAAATATACCCAAAGCACAGAATAAACTATTTCAATATATGTACACACACATACACAATTTATATACACACAAGTGTGCAGATATCCTTTTATTAAAAAAGGAAACATTCCATTTGGTTGACACTCTGATGTTGGCAGACCAAAACAACTGGGAAATTTTCCAGGAAAAAAATCTATAAAACATTCCATTGACCCAAAACACTGAATTAATGCGGCACCTAATCCATTTAAATGCCACACCTGGGGTAGTCTTCAGGCTTATTCAAAAGAGTCACCAGGTGAGAATAACTGGAGGCCAGCACAATATTCTTCTTGTGTGGTCCTTTGTAGCCTAGAGGCTTATTTAATTATGATTCCTAAACAAGCTTATGCCACTTCAGTATGATTTCTAAAATATCTTTATCCTTAGAAAATGCATTGGTAGGCTCTGGCAACCAACACAGCTATCTAAAACCAAAATATTTCTACTAGTCTCCAAATCTCAATATAATCGTGTGGTTGGGTACACTCCCTTCTCTCCTTGGGAGATTATCTAAGGACAGTTTATCCAAATTTACTTAATGGAAAGATCCCCCAGGGGATGTGTTAAGTTACTTGATCACACTGATAATCCTAGACTAATAGAAACAGTTTGTACCACCTAAATCCAAAGTGTGCTGACAACTACTTAATATCTTTGCTGGGAGTTTCCCTTTACGACCAAAAGACAAAATTTGGCCTGAGAGCTCTGTGGTTATGTTCAAATACTCTATATATAGATATAACTCCCTGAATGGAAAATGTATATTGCTTCTCAGCAATAAGATCCAGGATTTGCAGCTTCTCCACAAATGAGAATTTAAGGACATAAAACAACCTTCTCTTTTATTTGTAGTAAAACTGCACATTCTTTTCAGTTACCTCTTTTTTTAACATGCTTTTTATAACCTAGATCAGAGACAACCCAAAACACTTGAGTCATTTATACAAACTATACAGATAAATTGACTCACTGTCTCTAGTAAAAGTGTCCCCATAAGTTGCAGAAAAGTCATTTCAGAGGGAAACCACAGAATAAAGAACGCCACTCTCATCGCATTTCAAACCAAGGAAAAAAGGAAGCGTTTTGTGCCAGTACATCAACTACAGGCTAAGTCAACCCTTTGGCCTGCCTCCTTGGATATCATGTATTAATTTTTATTCATGAATATTGGTATAGTTCTTTCCCAGGTGCTGACACATGCTAGTCCATTAGTGACAAAATCTGGTCTACAGTAAAATAGGAATAGGAAATCCGTACAGAAATAAGTATGAAATGAGGGTGAGAATAATCCAAAAGGGAGGTGCAGAAAAACTGCAGAAAGCAGAGGGTAAGAGAGCATTTTAGGCAGAAGAAATCGAACAAGGCTTGATGATAGTACTGCCATTCGAGCTTTAGGGGATTGGCTGTAAGTCAGACTGAAAGGACGGGGGATTCCAGGAATGGAACAGTAATGTGGTAGGAGAGAGGGTAAAAGAACAGCACTTTATTTGCTAGAGTGTCAAGGCAAGCGATTGAGAACCAGAAAGACTGAGCGAGGCTCCATCGGCTGGTCCTTGACTACCATGCTAAGGTCAAATACTAGGCAGACTGTTCTCAGTATTTGGGATAAAAGCTGTTATGTGAAGCATTCAAAAAGCCATGATTAATTCTACCGATAGAGCAGACAGGAGACAGCACTGGAGATATGCAGCACTATCTAAACTCAGGCATTTCTCTTCTTGAGGAAGCACACATGNTCTTCCAGACAGGAGACAGCACTGGAGATATGCAGCACTATCTAAACTCAGGCATTTCTCTTCTTGAGGAAGCACACATGTAAAACATTACCACTCATTCACCATCCAAAAGGGAGATCCAAAGTCAGCACCAATATTTATGTCAGTAGGTTCAACTCAATTTCCTTTGCATTAAACTGGTACATTATTTTGGTATTTCACACAGGAGCAAATGACGTTTATTAAGTTGCACTGAAACACTTATCCTTTGTTTAGCTACCACTAATTGTACTCTAGAAACGGTGTAACACCAGAACCACAGGCTCTTTTTGGTGAAGACTAGATATAAATTTAAGATAATATGATAATACATACTGTCCTCTTATTGTTTCCTTAATTACAGGAGCCTGAGCTTAGAGACCTGTCTAAACAGGGTTCCCATCATCTCATCACCTTACCATCTTCCCTTCTCACTCACAGACTAATCCTCAGTGCTTCTCTGTTCTAATTATCAATTAAAATGTGCTTAGCCCCCATGAAGTATCAGGAACACCGCCAAGAGCCGACGCTCAGCAAATGTTTATTGAATGGATGACTATGAGTAGGTGTGGCAGTCACAAGATAAGACAGACATGCCATAGCCCTCTTCTAGGCAAGAATTATACCGGAGGAAATACCACAGGTCGCGATCCAAATCACCTAAATGTGTTCAAATGCCTCGCAATAAGCTGCTAGTAATCAACACCTTAATGTTCTATTCAGAAAGCGACAGTGAATTACTTTGGTAGACAAGCCAGCTCAGGACACTGCTGGTTTAGGTTGGGCTTGAAAACCAGATTCAGAATTTCTTGTTCTCTTTCCTACTGTGGTCTCAGAAAGTCACACTCAACACTAGTCATATTTGGGGCAAGTTGGTCAAAATAACTATCACATCAAATTTGGCCACATTTATTTTAAATACAGCAGCAAAACTCTTCACCGTTGCCAACCTAATGGACTCAATAAATACTGAGCAACTACTATGTGCAAAGAACTGGGTGAATAAAACAGGAATATGGGACCATTTCTGGTCCATTCAGTAAGAAATTCCCAGGTTTTATGATTTCACATTGTCGCCTTACCTATACCCTCCCTCCATATTATCTGCCTCAAAAAAAAAAAATTAAAAAATCAGTATTACAGTTTCTACTTTCCTTACAAAGGCTCAGCATTCTGAGGATAAAGAACTGATATTCTAGGATTTGAATGGAGTTACAGTGGAAATTTCAAGTATTCTTTAAAAAAAAAAAAGAAACTGGAATGCAGAACGGGCCCTTCCAATGTGTATGGTATAACACACCTGCACACACTTTCGCAGCAACACTATAATTTGAATCATGAACCCCTGAATCCCATGTTTTATGTAGGGTAGCCAAGGCCGCAAAAGAAGAAATGCTGCAAGGGGTATCTTCATTTGAGCTGTCCCAGAAGGACTCTAGGTCAAGTCGTTTATTTCGGAGGTGCAAAGGACGCTGATAGAAGAAGTGAAGTGACCCAGGGAGAGAGACGCAGACGACTAAGGGTGCTGTTAATCCTGCTTCCCCTTGCACAACCGGGGCTTATCCCAGCGGGCTCAAAGCTGTTCCTGGGGGAGTTAATTCTCCAGCAGAACAGCCTTTTCTTGTTCTGGAAAAACTCCTCTCAGACACAGACATGCAGACACTGCAGTTGGAAGTAGACCAGAGCACACGGAAAAGTCTGAGAAATACGGGCAAGGCACTCAGAACGTCTACCACAGAGCATCACACACACACACAATTTGCAGTAGAACTGGATCCCAGATTTATGGTATCCTGAATTTCGGGTGTATGTTCTTTCCTCCATATTGCCAAAATACAGTGCTTTCTTACAGTGAATATATACTACTTAATGTAATCCTAGGAAATAAATACCACTCTGCGTTAAACAATGGATGGAGGCCCACCAAGTAACCATAGCCAACAGCACTTGAGTGCTAACTTTATAACAGGAACTACGCTAAGCATTTTATTTGCATCATCTTAACGTAATTCTCAGCACAATTTAATAAAATAAAGGGCTATTCTTGACATCGCTATGTCACACAGGAGGAATGCCAGGCAATACAGCTTTTAAGTGGTGTTGAGATTCAAACCCAGGCCTTCCATGCCAGAGCCTACGCCCCTCTGCTACCTCCATCTCTGATTGCTTTAGAGGCAGGAGGTAGATGATACAATCAATCTACAGATTTAATGACCGGAAAATCATCGGAGAATTTTAAGTGTATCTGTGGTGGCACTGATGCCTTTTATGGTCATCAGACTGAACACCATCAAATTCATGTGACCAAGAGGCCTGTGAGTGCAGTGTGTATATTGCTTCTTAGTAAAAGCACTCTCCATGACTGCAAGAGAAGATATAAGTCAACTATTGTACACACTTTAGAGAACATGCCAACATCAAGAAAAAACAATAAACAGACTCTGTCAAATAACAGTACCTTCACTGTCCACATTCCAGCCTCTGGCTCTTTCACGTTCACCACCTTGGCAGAGTTATGGATATTCAATAGCTCATTCAGGCCAAATCCCTTTTTGATCAGCTTTCCTGAAAGACAGACATAAAGGTAACAAGCATAACCTTTCTTTCAGCTGTGTGTATTAGCTGTATACATTTCCAGTATAAACTGCCTAATGGACATGTGTTTCTATAGTTCAAAACACTGTTTCAGTTATATCTAAAAAGCACTTAATTTTAGGGTTTCTGGGCATTGAGACTGAAGTAACTGATTCCCATGTGCTATGCTGATTTGATCTTAAGATGAGAATAACAACCAGCAGTCTATGACCGTATTTCCAAAGCCATCTTAGATAACAATTATTACGGCTACTGAAAAGTTATGTGCAGGCGCTAGAGACATTTAGGTGGAATAGATGACAAAATAGGAAACAGAATAAATGTCTTTTTGGAGATCACTCAAGATATTACAACATGAGAGGTTGGGCATATCTTCGCACAAAGTGGAAAAGTTTAACTGGTTCCACAAAGCACAGGAGAAGGCTTCTATTGTCAGAGGAATAATTAAAAGAGGCAGGGTAATGAAGTAGCATAATACCATCCCCTACTGACTTGAGATTTATCTGAAGTATCTTATAGCTGGAATTTAGAGAGAAAAAAGCAAATTTGGAATTAAGCCATCGTTTAGTTACTCACTTTACTTTTGGCTCTCCTATGGACTCCTCCTGCAGTTATATGAACAAGTCAAGTATATGAATTCTGTATTTGTATCAAAAGCTTTATAATAATTAAAAATGACTTTTCAAATATCAATGACAACATCAATGACTTTTAAAAGTAGTAGAAACATAATGCATTGAGTAGAGGCACTTTTAAGTATCCAGGTAGTGGAAAACACAAGTCTTTCCGGGGCAGCATGGATGCTATTACAGGTGGGATGCTACATCGCCAGACAAATCTATTTATAAGGCCAAACCTGTAGAAGTCTTGAAAAAAGAGATTTTGCTTGTTTTGTAAATTTCAATTTGGTTGCTAGTGTGAACAAGGCCTTTGAGGACAATTTTATATGCTGCTTTCTTAGTTATTAGTTATTTTCTAAGTATTAGTTATTTTCTAAGACTCAAATTAAATAAAGTAAGAAAGCTGGTTACTCCTTCCACATTTATAAATACTCACAGATAAAAAAGGATGTATCATATACTAAAGCCATAATGGAAATAAAAATGTTCTGCAAACACCAAGAGGTAAAGAATATTTCTAAGTGCAAATATTAGAAAAAATAAGGTTTCTGTTTTTACTAGATTACTTGTCAATGTAAGGCTTATTGTAATATTTGACCAGAAATGGAATCAGGCCAAATCTTGGGGTTTTAACATATAGAAGCAAAGTAAATTAGCACATTATTCTAATAAAATTATAAATTTATTTTTTAACAACTGTCATCTGAAAATTTAAACTTTATCAAGAAAGTAATCAGTAAAAATAAAAAATTAGACAGCCCTGTCGGGCATGGCTCAGCAGCTGAGCATCGACCGAAGATCACGGTTCGATTCCTGGTCAGGGCACATGCCTGGGTTGCAGGCTCAATCCCCAGTCAGGGACGTATAGGAGGCAACTGGTCTCATCATTGACGTTTCAACTCTCTCTCTCCCTTCCTCTCTCTGAAATCAATAAAGATATACTTTTTAAAAATTAGACAGCTGTTTTAAAAGTTTTCTTCATGTGATTCATTTAAAAATAGCAAAATACTGAACTATTTCTTCATAAATTAGGAAAATATAATTTCAGGTTCAACTTACATATTTTTCCTTTTGGGTAATTTAGTACAACTAAGTTACTAACTCCCATCTGTTTAAATTATTAGGAGTTTTAATTTTTAAAATCTCATGTTAATTCAATACTTATGACTAAAAAACATTGGTTTTATTTTTATACATCTTCTCTAGTCATTTTTGAATTTACTCATAAAGCTAGCGTTAACATATGTAAGTGTGCAAAACATTTCACAGCTTTTGTATTTTATTAAATGATGTTGGTATATCTCACCTAAGGGATTGCGAATTTCAATCACTGGAGAAGGGCCACTCAGGGACACAGTAACCTCTTTCAGGCTGGGATCAAAAGGAATTTTCCATGTGTTTACAGCCTGTTCCAAATGATCTGTAGATAAGAGGTGAACTTTGGAGGCCTGCACTGCTTCCTCTACCCATTTTAACACCTATCAGAGAAAAAGAGAAGTGTGAGTGATATCAGAAACATTACCATTTTATACCACTGTGGCTTCCAGGTGCAGAAGCTGGCTTTGGTTAGTCACATGACTCAGGCACTTCCTACACTGGTGTGAGGTTTATTTCCATGAGAGCAAAGACAAAGCTTTTCCTACATCCAGTTATTGTAGTAGATTCAGAATAATTACTAGTTGAACACTAGTCAAATTTCAAGTTCTTGGTCTTGGAATAATATATTCAAAATGAGATTATAGTGTCCAAAACCGGTTCAGTGAAACATGCAGAGATATTACAGTCTGTTTTATATTCCCCAAGAGGTCTCTTTTCTCTCCACCTTTTCTTTCTAGATTGCTTTCAAAATCCAATTTATAAAGAATAATTAGCAAATTATCAAATCCAATTTCAACCTATTAGGTATATAAATTATTCTAACATAATATATTGTAATTATATATTATATATTGTAACATATTATAGTATATTACTCAAAAACAATGGCAATGCCAGCAAACTATGCATTTTTATGATGAAATAAATACCAAAGGTAATAGAAAAAGTAACCAATGTATTTTTAAAAAACAGAAAAATACTTCAGGTTAGAGCCAATTTAAGCAGTGTACTCTTGAAAAGTAGTCTTTTGGAATATGTTAAGAAATTGGGTTCTAAAAGGGAGTTAATGCCTCACTGTGAACAAGGGAAAACTTTCAGTTCATAGACATGTCTGCAGCAAATACAATTCCCCATTTAACAAAGAGTGTATATCTGAGCAGGCAGGTGGCTGCTTAGCCGAACTTACCACAATTAATTCTAAATCATGATAATCTTTAGTCTACCTCAGATCTTTGTCTGGTCCATATATCCTTCAAGACAATATATTATTGTGAACAATTTCTATTAGAATTACGCATAAAACACTGAACAGAGCTGGATATTAAGCTACAGTCAAGCTATTCAAAATAAACAAAAACTTCTTTAAAATTTCAATAGCGGTAGTCACAAATCAATTAATCAAACAGCAAATACTGTGCAATAACTTCACTCTCTATAAAAAGTATCCCCTTTTTATCTGTCCTCAAGGATCAGGAAAGTGACTAAGACATATTATCATATAAGTGATAATGTGAGACAGTTCTGTTCACTCATAAAACAAATGTTCATTGCTCAAGGCGCTCTTTCGGTACTAAGTATTCATGAGCAAAATTTTAGTGTTTGCTAACAACTCTACTTTTCTGAACTAGTAGTATTTACTGAATTCTTTGCACGTTACACATTATTTTTAATGAATCTTCCTGCCTTTCCTCCAGGATCAAGAACCACGTCTCCTTCATCTGTGAATACCCAGCACCAAGTGGCATGCTTTACCCATGATAAAGGTGGGAGATACACTAATGTCCATGAAGGTGGTCGCAATGCTGATAATAANCATGAAGGTGGTCACAATGCTGATAATAATGTTCTCATAACTAAAAGAATGGTATGGGAATTCATGACACAGGGACCCNGCAATGCTGATAATAACGATGTTCTCATAACTAAAAGAATGGTATGGGAATTCATGACACAGGGACCCCTTGTTGAAATAACATATGTACAGTGCCCAGCACAGTACTTGTCACNCCTTGTTGAAATAACGTATGTACAGTGCCCAGCACAGTACTTGTCACATAGTAGACAGTCACGTTTTCTTCCCTTTCCAATTAAATTCCCTCCTGTCCCCTAATTAAATATCTCAACAACAGCTTGATAGGCAAAGTGAAAATATTCATCCATGAAAGTCCAATTAGATTTCTGTAAATGAAAAAGAGAAGTCAAGTCATTCTAGGTAGAACTGAGGACGTGGGAAAAGACACGGAAACAAAAGTACTCCAAACACTGTTGGGAACATGACTGACCCCAACTGGCTACAGTTAAGTGCTCAGAAAAGGGGGAAGCAGAAGATGAGCTTGGAAGCTTGTGTCAGGGACAGACTATTTACGGTCACAAAGNATAAATGAAAAAGAGAGGTCAAGTCATTCTAGGTAGAACTGAGGACCTGGGAAAAGACACGGAAACAAAAGTACTCCAAACACTGTTGGGAACATGACTGACCCCAACTGGCTACAGTTAAGTGCTCAGAAAAGGGGGAAGCAGAAGATGAGCTTGGAAGCTTGTGTCAGGGACAGACTATTTACGGTCACAAAGTCAAGCTGTGTGACGTGTAGATTTTATTCCAAAGACCCTGTGAAAAATTATGGAAGGGCTTAAGCAGAAACAATGAAAGTGGTATTTTACAAAGAAAACTTGTAGAGGTATCAGAGATGAACTGAACAGAAAAAAACAAATCTATGCATTATAGGTAATTATCCCATAAATCAAATGATATATTTCCTCAAGTTTTAACCTTATAAAGCTCCTGGAATTTTACATATGAAATAAAGCATATATCAACATAATGGTCTAAAGAAGCAGATGCCATATTTTGAAAAACGGAATTCTGAGTGATATATCATGCTTGAACTAAGCTGTATGGCTCATTCTGCTCATCAAATACATACACTAGCTACAGAAATCAGACTGTAACTAAAATTTGACCATAAATAGGACACATATTTCAATAATCAGACCGCTGACATTTTTATGTCTTAAACATACAAGGTGGCTTCTTAACTCAAGGAAATGGCAACGACTGACTTGTCTGAGAAAGCATTTGATAAATTTGATTGATAATAAATAACTTTGAGGATAATGTCCGATGTAGAGACTTAAGAGAGCAAAGGAAAGCGAAACTGAATACATGGACAGAATATTTGTTTCAAGGGCAAGACACATAATGTGGCCATAAATAATTCTCAATTGAAAAGGAGGAAAAAAATCAGAAAACAAGAATTGTAGAGTATCTCAACTTTAACAATGAAATGCAATCGCATTAAGTAGAAATGGAAGTAAAATCAATGTCTATGCACTCTTCTTTGAAAGCATAATACATCTCTCCAGGCCNTCTTCTTTAAAAGCATAATACATCTCGCCAGGCCAGTGTGGCTCCGAGGTTGAGTGCTGACCTATGAACCAGGAGGTCAGGGTTCGATTCCCGGTGAGGGCACATGCCGGGGTTTCGGGCTCGATCCCCAGTGGGGGCCTGCAGGAGGCAGCCGATCAATGACTCNTGGTGAGGGCACATGCCTGGGTTGCAGGCTCGATCCCCAGTGGGGGCCTGCAGGAGGCAGCCGATCAATGACTCTCTCATCATGGATGTTTCTCTCTCCCTCTCCCTCTCCCTTCCTCTCTCTGAAATCAATAAAAACATTTTTTTTAAGTATAATGCATCTCAAATATATCTTTCTTTCAAACCCAAGGGAGAGAAGTTATCAAATATCATCACCAGAAGTCTATCCTACTGTCTACTCTCTATGCATGGAAATCACTAAGTCTAGGCATTCTTATGAAAATGGAAGACTATCTAATTTAGTTGCATTTTCACAAGGCAAGTGTGTTCAAATGGTACAGACTATAAGCAGGCTTTGATTTGCTCTTAATACGGTTTCCAATTCATCAACATTTATGAGGCTTTCACAACGGGATTATCATGTACCATACTATTACTAGTTGGGAAAGATACAGAACAGACTTCTGTCGGGAGTCTCAAATCACTTTTTCATCCACTTAAGAAAAAATCAAATTGGAAACAGTTGCAACCCATTTTATTAGAAAATACAGATCTTGCCAACATCTGAATAAAACTAGATCACTGTAAACTAGAGAATCACCATTAAGTGAGGTTCCTGGCCTCTCCTGTTGCCACATATAAGAAGAAAAAAAAAAAACCTTAAATTATCTAACCATGAGAAACGTTCTCAGGAGATTGGAAACGGTCGTCGATTATAATGACAAATGGAATAAAGGAAGAATAGTGTAAGAGGCTTTGCACTGGTGCATTTGTACTAACACAAAAGCTGTTTCAAATCACTAAGGAACCATTAATTGTACATTAAGAGTTTTAATATAAAAATGGTTCTCTATTGATTTGTAGCAGTCTATATTTCAAAGGGCCTTTGAGACCACCTAATCCAGCTTCTTTATTTTATAGATGAGGAAACTGATAGCTGAAAGAGTTCTTGTATTTTTTAAACATCTAACCAGGACACTTGTGGCTCAATGGTTATTTTTTACATAAACTCCTGTGTTCCTGAGACTCTCTCTTAGTTTAAATATATTTCACATTGTCAATTGTAATCAATACTTAAAAATAAGCTGATATGTACATTCCACTCTGGACTGAGATGCAAATATTGTTTTAAACCAAAAAAGCAGCATACATTATTATGTATCATGAAATAGAATAGTATTAAGTAGAAATGAAAGTGAAGTCAATCTTTGTATACATCTTCGAGAACAGAATTTGAAAGAAACTTTGCTTAGAAGAATATTTTTCCTTTTTTTATTAAGATGTAATTGACATATAACATTGTATTAGTATCAGGTATATGACATAATGATTCAATATTTGTTCATATTGCAAAGTGATAACCACAGTAAGTCTAGTTAACATCCATCACCACACATAATCACAATTTTTTTCTCTTCTGATGAGATCTTGATTTCGTCTCTCAGCAGCTTTCAAACATCCCGTACAGTACTATTGACTCTAGTCACCACGCTATACATTACATCCCCAGGACTTATTTGTTTTATAGCTAGAAATTGGTACGTTTTGAGCCCCTTCACCCATTTCATCCACCCCAAGTCTCCGGCAACCACTTATCTATTCTCTGTATCTGAGTTCAGTTTTTATTTTTGTTTTAGATTCACATATAAGTGAGATCACACAGAATGTGTCTTTCTCTTTCTCACTTATTCTGATTTTAGACAGCACTGCTATGACTCCGGTTTTTATAAGAGTCTATTCCCGAGGATGGGTCCATTCTTAAGAGCGCTGACAAAACCAGTTTCATAGCCTGCAAATCATAGCAAATCCACCAAAGACGGTCACACTTTGAGGTCTCCTGAGATCATC